TTCGGCATCTTGTGCTTACTTCCTTGCGTACGGATGACAGCTGCGTATGAATTAATTTACTTTCTGGTGCTTTCACTTCCAGAGACAGTTGTAAGCACTGTGTAACTGCCTCGAGGGTGCTCGACCATTTTAACACAACGTGGTGCGATCATCCCCCTTGCGCGGAGCGGGTTCTCCACCCCGCACAACATGATCTACTCGACCACCATTATGGTTACCGCCAGTATAGGGGGGGGGGTAAATCTAGTCTAAGCGTCGTTGTGAGTTCCTCAATATGTGGCGATCCGCTTCTCTTATGCATACATATTATCGGCACACAATCGGCGAACAACAAATGCCCCCATCGCTTGGAGCTATGATAGTACCGCCCCGACGTCGAGATTATTCGGCGCATCAGTTGCAGATAACCACGCGGGGCTGGCTGCTGGTGAGCGTCACCGTCCACTACCCGCGCACCATCTTGTGACGTTTGGTACCATGCGTGCAGGAAACAAGTTCGCCCGGACTACCGCCGTCCAAACGGCCACATGAACGACGGCAGCGCAGTGTGGCCCTCCAAGCTGCCTAGTCGAACCTGTGTCAATCAACCCTCTTTTCTTAACCCCCCCCCCGGCGCGTGCTCCGTCCCGGATTCGTCGGGGCGCGAGCTCAATGGTCTAACGACTACGACATGCACGTCTATGAGCACACACACTCCTTCGTGTCTGCTTGCCTCTTACCCTCGAGAACGGCTGCATGGCGATCGGCGCCAGACGCGTAACGGCGTTCATGAGGATGAAAACCACCGACACCACGCCCCAGGCGCTCGCCACGCCGAAGCCCGCCGGCTCCCCTTTCCCGGCCGCCCCCGCCCCCGCCCCTCCCCCCGTCACAAACAGGGCCTTGCCCATCAGCGGCAGCGCGTTTTTGGGAGCCACTGCCGCGGCCACAGGCGACGCGTGCGGGCGTTGCAGCAGGTCGTCGTTCTTCTGATGCCGCTGTGTCTCCCGGGCGGCAGAAGCGAACGCGATCGACATGGACGAGGAGGAGGGCGAGGAGGACGAAGAAGGGCTGCTTCTCGGCGTGGGGCTGGACCGCGCGCCCCAGCGGGGCGCACGCACGTCTGCCGAGCGGACACACAGAAAAAAACAGGGCAGGAGAGATCGTGAGGACCGCGGAGGGGGGGCTACACTACATCGGCGATGGTAGACACCGTTGTTTTGCCAGTCACCCTCTGACGGCAGCCCTATACGCCGATCTACAAGGCCAGCAAGGCGCTAGGTTAGCTCTTTGAGAACCAAGCTAGTCTTAGGTGGCACTTCCAGAAAAAAGAACAAAACGAGTCCGCTCATTAGGATTGGGTGTACAGAGTCCCGATGGACGAGGCTGAACTTGGTTTTAGAGAGGAAAAGTGTTCCCAAATGCACCACACTTTCCATACTGAAGCCAAGTCAGCAAATTTTTCCAGTACTACGCTATACAGACCCTTTCCGACAAGGGGACACGCGGCTTGGGAGATATGCGTACAGAAAGTCAGAGGCCGAGGAGGCACACGGGTGTCACACGGCTACCTGGTACACCACACCAGCGTATGCACACATACCACCTCACAAAAGCGTAAGCATGACAGACCCAAGGTTTCCGACGCGCGTTTCACACCGCGGAGCATAGTGACGACTACGGTGCGGTAAACAGACATTTGAATGCTGTGTGCCCATCCGGGATTCCAACAATAAATGGGTTAAGATTCGAGTCATGCGTATGCATAAGGCGTTCGCGATCCTGTCACGGGTGGGTATCATATCGCTATTATGGCAGGTGGAACCAGCAGGTCAGCAGGTGTACGTGATGTCCTGCGTATGCAAAAGAAGTTCATCTGATGATTTAGGAGCATAGACGCCCCGTCGGCATGTTTGCGGGAACACCTCGCGGAAGAGGTGATGATATGAAATCGATTCGTACATGTGTGCCAGTCGATCACCACGTGTAAGTCGTACAGCATCCGCCTACAAGCCCCAAACATCCAAGAGCCGCCCGAGTGTCCTTGGAAGAAAGCGGGGAGATTCCGATGCAGAGTATCTCCTGTGGCTTTTATACACTCTGCTGATCCCACGCGTGTTGCGACTTCTGATACGGCAAGAACAGCTACCCGTGAAGCGTATGTATGGCTGAATTCGCTGCGGGTGTTTGCGGAGAGACGCTGCTACCAGAGTGCACATGGTCGGTCAACCCCCTTCCAGCTGCGACCGCGTGTGTAAATGGGGTTGCTGTCGGCCGAAAATACACGACGAGCGCACTAGGGAGACCAGCTTGGACAAAGCACCCTCAAACGGACTACTGTAATACTCGAGAGAACACAAAGCGCTTTTGACAAGGGGGTGTACTCACGGAAAGGTTCCAGTGGCGCCACGGTTGCTGCGGCAGCTCCGACGAAGGCCGAGGACGAGCCACCGGTGCTGGCGCTGGCCGAAGAACGAGGACCGCTGATGGCGGTGGCGACGGCGGCGGTCAACCACAAGGTACGGAGCGTTTCTCCTTTGGCGCGCATACCGGCAGCAGCGGTATTACCCGTAGCGGGAGTGGAAGCGGCAGAGACAGCGGCAGGACAGCGTTGCACTCCACAGCAGGCGTGCGGTGCGTAGCCGTAAGGGCAACACAGCAGATGGAAACCAAACCGCTCACGACGAGGAAGAGGCTACGCGGATTCATTTTTACTACAGATACTCTACTATACACCTCTTTTTCCCGTGCGTGAAGCTTCCTCTCCGCGCGTAAGCAAGCAGGCCCTCACAGCGCCTTTTGGGCTTGGGGCAGAGGTGGAGACAGAGGAAGGGCGGGCGCTAGACTCATCACTCTCCAGCAAGAAGAGAGAACCGGTGTAGCTACAAGAGGCCTTCGTGCCTGCTTGGCTCTACCGCAGCAGATAGCGCTAAATAGCAAACAAGATGGAGAACAACGTCCACCCCCAGGTTGGTTCAAAGCGACCGCTCTCGGAGACGATCTCACAACCTAGCCAGCAAGCGCTCGCCGTGTCTTCGGCCCCACCGCCAGCCGCGAGCGCGGCTGCGGATTCCGCGCGGGGGTCTTCCTCGGTAGCGACGACATCGTCGAACGGCGGCGCGGCGGTGGCGGGGAGCGATGATCCTAAGCCCGGCAGGTCGAAGGCGGCCTACGGGCCGGACATGCGGATCCTGGAGGTGACCAACAACGGCGAACCCGCCAACATGGAGATGCTTATCCACCTCAAGGTGCCTGGGGGGTCATGCACGTGTAGTTGGTTCTGGTGCTGATATGAAAAGAGAGGAGTTGTGAGGATCCTTGCTATCGCGCGCGTGTGTGGGAACTACAAGGTGCAGTCTATTTGTGTCAATGTGAAGGAGGGTAAGGCTTGCATGCGGGTCGTTTCCGCGAACGACCGCAGCGGTGCGCTGTCTTGCAGACGTCGGCGCAGTGTGCGGGTGTCGTCTTGTCGTTCAGGTTGTCGTGACGGAGGTCTTGACGGCGATCCAAAATTTTCCATGGAGGGAAACTCTGGCGTAGACATATCTGCTGATTTTGAACTTCGGGTACAAATGCGGACAATCTTGTGCTCAATGTTTAATGTCGCGGTGTCGTATGTATTTCCTCCGCCTGAGCCTCTCTCCATGGAAAATTGAAGATAGTTAGGCGTAGCGTCAAGAAGAGAACGATTGTTGTATGTTACATGCCAGTAGACACGTTTGATGACAGCAGCTTGTTGGCTTTTTGCGGCTTGATGGCTGCTGCTCCTCGCTCCCTCTGGCGCCGCTGCTTGCGTGTCTCTTCGCTGGCAGGAGATCTTCCACCAGCAGTTGCCCAAGATGCCCAAGGAGTACATCGTGCGCCTCGTGTTCGACCGCAAGCACCACTCGATCGTGCTCACTAAGAAGGGCGTCCCCATCGGCGGCATCACGTACCGCCCCTTTGTCGAGCAGAAGTTTGGGGAGATCGCGTTCTGCGCGGTGGCCAGCAACTCGCAGGTGCTACGACAGATAGATCGACGAGTGTTTCGTGTTGAAATGGCGTCCTGTAGTACCGCGCTGCTGAAGGTATGGGGTTCGGCACATTCATACCTCGCTGCCTTGACCTACATCCAAAGGATGGTGGTGTTGTGGTACACTTGGTCGCGAAACGCGAGTCAACCCGTGCGTCGTTGGTAACCGCGCGAGGAGGTCCCTCCTTTCCTGCTGCAGCAAAGGCTAGCGGTTGCTTGCGAGTATCACTAAGAATGGCACACGCTTGTGCGACCCCGGTCTTGTTTTTGGGTTGACCGGTAAATCCGTAGCCATCGACCGGTGCCGTTCTGCGGTGTGCTGCCCTGTGGGATGACGACACTACACGAGACACAGGTCCAAGGGTACGGCAGCCGCCTCATGAACGAGCTCAAGATGGTGGCCATCAGAGAAGACTTGTCCCACTTCCACACGTACGCCGACAACTACGCGATCGGGTACTTCGCGAAGCACGGTTTCACCAAGAACCTGACCATGTCTCGCGACAGATGGTGGGTCAAGCGGCGGGGGTGGGGGGCATGAATGGACGACGAAGTATTGGTGTGGTCGCATGCTGTGGTTGGTGTGGTCGTTGCTGCTGTTGTTCGGTAGCGTCGCTGTTTGCATCACATTCATTTGACCATTTGATTATTGGGTTCTTGGACTCTGCTTTATTGGTTGTGACTTTGTCGGACTGCTGTTTGCTGCTGTTGCTGTTGCTGCTGCTGCTGCTGCTGCATTTCATGTGTCACCGTCCCGTCCACCCGTGCAATCGACTTCCATCTTGTCACACTATCAAACGTTCAGTATAACCGCTGTACTATCAACCAACCGACCAGTCCTTAATTATCTGCGTTATCCCCATCCGTTCCTTAATAACGAAAACGCGTTTTTTCCGCCAATGCTCTCTCTCCCTCTCTCCCTCTCTCCCTCTCTCCCTCCCTCCCTCCCTCCCTCCCTCTGTCTCTGTCTCTGTCTCTGTCTCTCCCTCCATCTTTTTGTTACTTCTCTGTTTCACGCGCGCTCACTCGTGCCTGAACCAAAACAAAAAGGTTCAACTACGTGAAGGACTATGACGGCGGGACGCACATGGAGTGCTACGTCCACCCCACGGTGCCGTACATGAAGCAGGCCGAGATGTTCGAGATCCAGAGCCAGTTCCTCAGGGAGCGCATCGCCGACATCTCGTCGAGCAAGGTGGTGCACCCCGGCCTATCCGAGGAGGCCTTCAACAGCCTCGAGCACCATATCGACATCCCAGGTACTTGAAGCACTTCCCATGACAACAACCGTACACGTCATTTACCCGATGCAATGACCGACACTGACGCCGTCGGATAGGTCTACGGTAGAGCCTCGGACGGCGCCACACCCATATGACCGTCCTCGCCTAGCAACAACGGCAACAACACACCCTGTTGCCAGGGGGAGGGGCGTCGGGTGTAGTCATGGTAACGAGGTGTTGCGACACCGATGCTTTCTCTCCGCCGCAGAAAATTGCAAGCTGTTCACGCCAAATAGAGGTGCTCGGACCCGCACCCTGCTCCTAACACGCTTCACGAGACTACCCGCTTAGACCCCACCGGGGCGACCGGCCGAATATGCCTGCGTGCGCCTATGCATCACGCGCTGAGCGTTCGCACACATTCGCTCACGCTACGGTGAAATGCAGGGGTTGCCGAGGCCGGGTGGACTATGGACGAGCTCAACGCGCAGAACCGTCGCAAGAGGGACGGGGACGCGCTCGCCGTCAACAAGGAGCTGCTGGCGATCTGGAGGGAACTCGAGAAGCACGACGTGGCCTGGGTGTTCCGCGAGCCGGTAGACCTGACGGAGGTCACGGACTACACCTCCATCATCGAACGTCCCATTGGTGAGGGCGGGACTGCGGGGGTGGGGGGGTGGGGGGGTCGCCGTGTGTGTGTGTGTGTTCGACTGTGGTGTCTTGAGGGGTAGGGTATCGTCAGCAGCGCCACGCGAAACAGCCGCAGCACAAGTGTGTGTCAAGTGTGTCTTGCATTGGTGATTTGCAGCCGACGGACCGCGCTACCGTAGCCGACTTGCTGGCGATAGCCGACTTTCCCGACGAAAACGCACACGGTTTGTGTATGTGCTGCTTTGCAACCCATACCCCGCCATACGCCTATATCTCCAGGCCTGCAGTGCTGTGGAAAACTTTGGCGCAGGCCAGCATTCGTTCCTCGGGGCTGTTTGGTTTAATAATCGTTTTTTTTGTTGTGACCCTCCCGCCCTTAGCGGCAACCCCATTCCCCTTGCATTTCTGCCCAATGACCGCACCTTACGAAGAAATATCGGACCTGAACCATGATCCTAAAAAACGGGGCTCGACAACCTCCGTGTTACATCCTCTCTCTTTCTCTCTCCCTCTCTCTTTTTTCGGCGTTCAGCGTATCTTATTTGGTTTGACACGGATCCAACCCGTCCCCCGCACACCCGCCCCCTAAAAATATCGCGAACGAAACTGAAAAACACAGACCTGAGCGTGATCCGAGAAAACCTCGACGAACTAGACCCGAAGCCTTACTATGCGAACAAGGAGCAGCTTCGCGAAGACCTGGACCTCATGATCCGCAACTGCAAGAAGTACAACGGGCAGGATACCGAGTTCTGGGCGGCCGCCGACACGATGGAAAAGTTCATCGCCGAGATCTACGATCGATCGTGACGTTGGCACCGACCGCCTGCTCTTGCTATTTCTAGTGCTACCCTGATTTTACCACAAGCAGACGACTGATGGACGCGTGGGTTCGTTGATCGTGCTTGTTGTTTCGCCCCGTTTGTGTAAAGATTTGTCCGCGCCCTCCCGCGCTTGTGGCGCATGTTGTAAGGTTGTGGTGGTGTTGATTTCCTGGCGGTGCTTTTGCTGCGATCGGGACTTTCTGCGCTGCACGCTGGGAGCCAGGGAGGTAGACTGTCTGGCTGGGAAAGCGAATCTATTTTCTAGATTTCGAATGTACAGAGGGAGGGGGGCAGGCGCAGGGGAGGACGATGATGAGTGATGATGTGCTTTTTCCGAGACCACCCACGTGGTAGGCGAGCGCTGGAAAGGAAGAAGAGAGTTTGTTGTGCCTCCACGCACAAGGCACGTCGGTGCGTGGGAATGCCGGGTTGGGAATCCGATTTCGAGAACAGGATGGGGCGTAGGCCAAAGGGGCGACGATCTCGGTGCTGGTGTATTTGCTCCCGGCCTTGGTTTCTTGCTGGTGTGTTTCTTCGCCGGCTAAGGTTAGCTACTTGGCGGGAAGAAGCGATACAAGCGCGCCACGTGGAACAGGAAACGGATCACCGGTGATAACATTCAAGGCTCGACGATCACACGTTGCCGTAGATTTTCTCCTGCTCTGCTGCTGCTGCATCGGCACGCTGTTTTTTTGACGTGGCATTAAGCTCCCACGGATTGTTGTATTTGCTGTAACCTTCTCATTTCTGTAATGTAATGTCTCGTGGTACTGCGTAACTGAACTGTTGTGCACACTGCAGGCTGGAGCTAGGTAGACGGACGAGAGCGGGCCAAAAGTCAAAACTTGTCGCAGTTGTTCAAATGCTCATGTTAGGGCTCTTGTTTTTTGAAGTCGAGCGTGGGGAAGGCGGGGCTGTGGCTATGGGTATGTCTGATCCACTTCGGCTCTGCTCCTTGTAGATTTATCGTGACGGCCTGGTTTCGTGTTCTTGGTATGTGCTGTGGTGGTGTGGGTGCGTGTGTGTGTTTACCTACACGCGTAGTTCGTCTTGTGCGTGCGCCTAACTCAAACCCGGGGGTCGTCTTACTCTGCGCAGCAGACGTTGCAAGGGCAAACGCGGTCAAAAGGCGAACCTGCTGTACTCGACAACGTGTTTTGCCTAGGGGACAAGCTGCGCGTGATTCTGCTCCTGATGTTTTTGAGCGGCGGAGGCGAGGGTATTATGAGCCCTGTCTTGCCTGGTTTCATGCTGTGTTTCCTCCCATCTGGAAAAAAGTCTGGGAATGTAATCAAGTCGAGAGAACGAACTCACGGCGAGAGGGCGAGACGGCAGTTTCGTGATGGTACTGAGTACATGTATGGACGTAATGCTGGATCCTGCTGACTAATGTAATGTATTTTTTGTTTTTCTCCCATCATTGGACTCTGTCGTCTGCCCCTCTGGCCCCTATCCTCCACTTCTACTGGCTAGACGACCCACCCGGGGTCACATAGGAGGGGGGGGTTGGACCCCCTCCTGCGGTTCATGCCTGAGGTATTTTTATCGCGAGAAGGGTACAGCAATCCCTTCCCTCGCGACTTACGAAGTCGATTATGGTTTACTAACAAACGAGCTTTGCAGCGCGTCGCTTTCATCCTAGACCAGGATTTATTTAGTGAGAAAATAACTCTCTCTGCCGGGACTCGAACCCATGACCTGGCCCTTGGCAGGCTGCGAGGCTACCCACTAGTCCACCGGGGCAACCGGCCTAATGTAACGTAATGAATGTAATGTAATGAACGAGACACCACACCCCCTGGAACGATCTTCGAAGCTTAGTTACTCTACGATGAAGAGGATGCTGACTAAAAAGGATGCGTTGTCGGAAAGGTCTCTCATGACAAGGTTTCAACGCCGCCGTTTTCTCCTCCGCCGCTGCCTTTCCTGCCGAGTAATCGAGCATTGGAAATCGCGCCAGGGGGTGTGATATGTTATGCAACCTACGGTAGTGTGCATGCTCTCAAGTATGCCTGCGTTCGTTGTTGTGCATGTACATGTGCGTTTTCGTACGGGCGATTCCGGGCACCATTCTATACCGTTGGCATCCTGGTACAACATGGCTTCACGCAAGAGCCTGGCTCACAAAGAAGGGTACAAAAAAACTTGGGGAGATGTCGCTCTTTTCGACCCTTACTGCACCTTCTGGCATGAACCCGCCGCACAGAACCAACTTGCCGCGATCAGCACTCCTACCCTGAGCACACGCGAACAAAAAAAGAACTCAAGACGTCAGTGTCCTGGGTATGAAACCTCGTGCTCTGCCTCCATGGGGACCGGCCAAAAGGCTCACGACCGGACAAGGAGTGAACAACGGGGAGGGGGGGGGAGCCGACTGTAATGAAGGAGCTCGCTGCTCTACAAACATTATTCCTTTCCCTCTTCGAAAGAGGCCCAACCCGTCGACTTGGCTCGCGAATAACGAAAGCGAACTGCGCGAACACGGGAGGTAGGGATACAGGGATGAGATCGTGCTACACCCAAGAACAAACAAACTAATAACGGCAAAAATCGTGTGTCTACGTAGCAATAACGCAGCAATGAGTGAAGGACGAGGGAAACAAAATCTCTACGGTACAGTATACAGTACAACCACATCCACGGCCAACAACAAGAGTACACCACAAAATACACCTCGAGCCACACCAACTATCTGCGCCAACTGAATCTCTCAATATGTCCGTCGTGTGCTATCGCCGCCTGCCCCTCCCCGCACCACCCTGCGGCGGCGCGCCCCCGCCTGCCGCCGCCCCCCCAAACATCTTCATCATCTCCGCCATGTCCGGCATTCCCGCCCCCGCCGCCCCTGGCATACCCCCGGCACCCCCTCCCATCCCAGACACCATCTTCATCATCTCGGCCATGCTCGGCATGCCAGCCCCGCCAAGACCGGCCATGCCCCCCCCCCCGAGGCCAGGCATACCCATCCCAGCGCCGGGGCCTCCCCCTCTCCCCATCCCC